AATGGACAACTGTACACCATCCACGGGGTTATGGCGAACTCCGTGGATGTGCCACTGAAGTTCGCCATCACGACACGGTATGGCGTACGCCAAACTGAATTAGCTCATTTTCAAGCTGCTAATACTTGCGTTGTTCCAGGAAAAATCAGTGCGTGTACGAGCGCATCTTCGAGAAGCCTAAAAAGCGATTGAGGCAGCTGGCGGAAGGAGCAACATCAGGCTTCTACTCAACTACGAAAAAGCCGCTATCAACGCGGTGAAGAGGTGCTTTCCAAGCGCATCATTAGAGGGGTGCGCTTTTCATCTGGCGCAAGCCTAGAACTGGAGAAGAGATGCGTTTGGATTGCGCCAACAGGTAAGAGGATCGCACCGTTGCAGATCCATTCAGAAGTGGTGGCATACAATTAAAGGTTTGCCGTTTCTGCCGTTGCAGTTGCACCGAAAGGTCAAGGCACTTCATCGCCCCCCTGTCCCCAGAGAGAATGGGGCTTACGACAAGTGCTCTACGATAAGCGCTCTTTATTTTTAGACTATTTGAGAAAATATTGGTATGAGGGTGCTTCCAGGAGATATGTGGAACAATTGGGGTGTGTCGATCCTGCGGACCACAAATGCGGAATGGTTCAATAGGTTTGTTCCATTCAAGCGCGGCTCCCTACTTGCTTGCTGACTCATCTAGTTTCTTTCAGGCTTCTGGGAAAGCTCAAGCAGACAAAGTGCCCTCGCATGAGTGATCTCCTACGAGCCTTACAGGGACCGTGACGACAGCGTGAGGATTCCTGCTCAAAATCGAAAGGGTTAGTTTGCGTTGTTCACTCTATCAGCGGTAGCAATAAAATTTCTATTTGCTGAAAATAATGGATCCGAAGCCATTGTGGCGGAGGGACAGACTTCGAAGACGCGACGAAAGGGAACTGGCCAGATTCAAGGAACTTCTGAGTCGCACATGAAGTTCCCATCACAAGAACAATTACGACGTACCGAAGGCGCATCGCGCGCTTTGTTATAGAGAAGGTGGTTTTGAGGTTCGTTGTTTCGCTTTACTGTTGCTTTACTTTATGTTTTTGCTTTTGTTTCGATTACGGTGTGTGTGCCTTTTTGATGTATTTTTATTTATCTGGTTCGTTGGTATCGTCGTCTACGGCGACGATCCCCGCAACTATCTCGTCGTATCACTGTCTGAGACTATTCACCCTAGCTAGACCCACGCCCCTAAATGGTGCGGGGTCAAACGGCCCCGAGATAAGTGCGTTCCTCTTTCTAGCTCTAACAACGTCAAGGGCAAGACGTAGGTTTTGCTGTTTGAAAAAGGTCTATTTACTATCAGTTCGTGTTTCACTAGCGGTAACATCTGCACTTGTTACGACACTTGTTGTATTTTTACTCCTTACCATCTGGGTTATATGAAACCACTGAACCCGCAGCGCATTTCAGTGCATCGGCTAAAATAGTGGTATATCTACTAAGCAAAGAAAAAATCAAATCTCTTTTAAATAGAATCGAAGGTGGTTTAATACCTTTGAAGCCGATCAAAAACAGAATCGAACGAGGTTCTGTAACATAAAAAGAATCGAACGAGGTTCTAGCATAATTTTACAATTAATAGTATGTACGTAGTATATATGT